CTTTCAAGGTCCGTCTGATCTGCAGGCAGGGAAGACACTTGTTACTTTCTGGTGCCAAGCTTGATTCTGGGATGAACATTACCCAAAAGGGCAAAGAACACCCACAACAGCTGGGGGAGGAGTTCCAGGATCAGTTACTCACCAACAGAGGTCTGTGGCTGCATGGAGAGGGGGACAGATGTCTAGCTCCCCACATCTTTGCACAAGGGAGACAGGAAGATCTGATGCATGCTGCAATACCTTACACTAGTTCTTGGCTCACGTTCAACAAGCAATAGGTGCAGATTCTCACCTTTAATGTAGAGACCAAAGACCAATGGAACCAAACACTGCTGCCTGATAAGGGGGTGGAATGGGACAGCATGGCAGGCAACACTGGACAAGTGGGGAGATTCAGAGAGAAAAAGCTGGTTCAGAAGGGACATTGTAAAAATAAATGTCATTTTTGCAGGGGGGAGAGAGAAAGAAATGGAGAATGCCAGACTCTCCTACTGGCGAACTTTCCCTGGGACATAATTTCTATCGATGGTCTCTTCTTGCAGGAACATATGTAAGCAGCGCTCATTTTGTGCCAACGGGTGTCCAGCGATTCTGCCAGGAACAATCAAGAAAGTGGTTAGATTTCAGCAGGTCATCACTTGTGGTTGTCCCTGACCTTGTCAATCCCAAGACTTTTTGACAAGCACAGAGACTTGGGGAGGGACAAAGTCTCATCTTGGACTTCACACAGCATGGTCAGAATCCTGCATCTCCCCCAACTTCCATGAAAAAAGAAGAAATGCCTCAGACTCTACAGGCTGCTCAGTATAGCATGAATTCAGAGATTAGGGAAGGGGCATTGCCATGGCAACCCTTGATATGCCCTAAATTCTGGCACCAGTGGGAATGGAAGGGAACTTTTTTTTTTAAAGTCAAGCTTCTGCCAATCTCTACAAAACAGCATCAGTCCTCATTAACATACACCCTTTGGTTACAAGATAAATATTTATAGTCAGCTCTGCCATGGCCACTCCCACTAGCAAAGAAGTGATGATGCACACGTTGGCTGCGCTGTGAGACTTAGCACCCAACCTATTCCTTCAAAAATGAATACCAAAATCAATCTTACTTGTTTATGAACTGTTCTAAGCCCTGTCTTCTTTCTTCTATGAAAGACTCCTCAAAGATGCCCTCATCTCCTCGGAATGGAAGCTGGCGTTTCAAGGCTTTGCCAGGCAGTGGAGGCACTACAATCTGGAAGCAGAAAGAATACTTAACAGGAGAGCAGAATCTTAACTCCTCAAGAGTACAGCTTGACTGATGGAAAAGAGTATTCCTGTGGCAGATGGGAGGAGACTCATTGGCATCTACTCTAGTTAAGGTCAGGGGCTACACAGAGTGGATGCTCTCTCCTTCGCACTCACCTTACTGTCACGCTCCAACTCATTCTTCAGCCACTCAAAGTCACTATATCGTCGTCTCACACAGGACTCTTTCAGTTTGAAAATGGGCAGATTTGTCTGGAAGAAGACACATATCACTCAGCAGCTGCTTTACAAATGATTCCTTTAGCTCTATACTCAAGTGGCACATTTACTGTGTTCCTTGGCACAAAGGATCACAGAGCAGGCACCAAGAGCAAAACACACAGACATATTAAAAATTTAATTTCCAAGTCTTTCTGGCTATGTGTTTTACAAAGGATAAGAGCAGGGCTAAGTTATCAGTATCTGGGATCCACAGATACTGTTATCGCCTTAAATGTAGTTTTGGCAACCAGCAGAAAAAGCTTGTGTGTGTCAGATATGACAATACACGCCTTGTGAAATCCAGATTAGATTTATTTTGCACAGTCTCCAAAGGGTTGCTTTTTGAAGGGATTCTGAAATTGCAGTTGGTACAGAATATAGCAGCAGAATTATTAACAAGAGCCCACTATGGGGAACATAATTCCAAAGTTAATCATCTTCACTGGCTTGCAGTCTTTTTCTGGACCTGATTTAGAGTGATGGGGGACGATTTAAATCTCTAAAAGCCGTGGGCCAGAGTAACAGAGGGGCTTCCTCCATTATCTTATATCTTCCCCCATTATCTTATATCTTCTGTTCAGGTCATGCCTTAATGCACAGGGCAGTTACTGTAATCACTAAAGAAACAGACTCTTGAACTCTGCTCATAGAAGCCTAGCTTGCTCACCCAAGTCCTTGCCTCTAAGCATCTTGTCAAGATCCCTTTCCCCACTGCAGAGGATAATCTGGGTGTGGATAAGTTTTTGGAGTTTCTGATGCTCTGTTTTGTTATTTGGGGTTACTGTGAGCTTTGTTGTGACCTATTTTATAGGCATTAGGTTTATTACACTGTTTTCACATTGTGTTACCTGCCTTCAGTACTAGTTACATTGTAGAAAGGCAGGATAGAAATACAAACAAACAGTATACATCACCATGAGTAACAAGTGTTTAAAAATACTGTAGGAACAGAAAGGCAGAAGTGCCTCTTTCAAAACTGCACCAGGCTGCATCATGATCACCTCGGACGGGAGTAGGGTGATTGCCACAAATGCTCTCCATGGGCCAACTGCTGTTTTCTCTACAAAGTCCATTTGCTGGGCAGTAGGTACCGAAGGGACATACTTTGCCTCTACAAAGCAGAATGCAGTGTCTCATTGGCTACTAGAAACAACTGACTACTATGCCTGGCCAGAGTGTGTGGACCTCTTGAGTTCCACACAAATTACGTATTCTGCACAAGTTTAAAGTTTATCAGTTGTCCCCTAAATTCTTGGTACCCTAGCCCTGAACACACAAGGGAGAGATTTATACTTCTAGCAAACAAACAGCTATCACATCTGTTGGAAACTCAACCAGAATCTGTGGGTCAAAGATTGAGTGGCTTTTTGTGGAAAGAACCTTCGCCATAAGACATTCTGCAGTTATCCAACCAGCAGTATGAGCAAGACCAGTACCAGGCCCTGAGCCAGCATTGTTGTGGAACTACTATGCATCTATCCCACTGTACAGTTGTCCATTCTCCTCCTTTATAGAAGAGGGAAACAAAGAATTCTTCTGCCAAGCTCAAGAGAATTTCTAATTCCAGTCTTCTCATAGCAAGAGAGAACATTAAGGGGACTTAAAGCTACTTTGTGACTATCCAAGATAAGCTGTTGGCCCTGAATTTAGAAGATAAGACTCTGTTTTTGTTTTTTTTTAAGTCAAAACTCTTCTCTGAGAAACTTAGTTTAACACTCCTTAGTTTTCATCCTCAGCTATAATTAAGCCCTAGAATAATGTCTGTCCATCATGTATACATGTACTCCCCCCGCAGTATATACAAGAAACACCTCAGCCAAGGCACCATTTGCTTTTGCTACTCTAAAATTGTCATGTGTACCAATGAAAGGTATATGATAAACCACTTTGCCAAACCAAGCAGGTGTGAGTCTGGTCAATGGTGGGATGGAAAGCCATATGGGAAACCCTATCTACACTGCACCAAGTACAATGATGGGAGACAAGCAGTATGGCAGATGATAATAAATGATCCCAGCAGAGCTCCTTACACATTCACAAATATAGGGAAAGGTAAGAAATATGGGAAGGCTCCAAGCCGCAACACTTTATAAAGCCTCTCCATTAGAGCAACTACCCCCATACCCCTTTTTTAAATACTAGGGCATCTGTGTGTGGCATGAAGGGAGAATCTAAAAATCATTCACACATGCAGGAAAGGTGAGAATGAAGTGGCAAAATACTGAGAAAGTAAAATGGCCTGCACTACTTCAGAGGGTCAGGCAAACGGCAACATTTTGGAACTAGGCTTAAAAAAAAGGTCACCAAACGTAGAACGCTAGTTCGGTAAGCACTCTCCCTGTTGTGCTAACTTTCTAACTGCAAGGTGTTGTTTCCAACCAGGAAGAACATGCAGAAACGCCCTCCACCCCAACCCACTTCCTCCTGCCAAGGCAAGTGAGGCCACGCCCCTTACGCCCTGTAGCTCCGCCCTCTGCGCCCCCAGCCCCCCTCACGCACTCTCATGCGGAGCTCATAGCTGGTGTAGCGGGCCCGACCGACGCCCACGGTCTGCGGGTTGAAGATATCGATCTCTAGGAAGTTGCTGGGTGGCCCGTAGGCGTCCGTCAAATCCTGCGGCTTCGAGTTGAGGCGCCGCGTATCGGCCACCGCCGCCTCAGACATAGCGGGCGCTGCGAGGGACGATGACGGTCTTTCTCACACTCAGAACCGCCTCAGCGGAACCGCCACTCTCTTCTCCCCTAGCGCCGCAATACATAGCGCCGCCCCGGAACGTGCGTGGAAAGGCGCGTCGCCGCCTCCGCCCTGCATAACGATAGGCGGAATTCAGGGCCCTGGGTAGTTGGCCACTTCGCCCCACAATCTGTATAAAGCAAAAGTGTTGCCTGTATGAAGCAAACGAGATTGTTTTATCCACTGCACGGGGTTTAAGCAGTTCATGCTCGGAACGTGTATCGTTCGACGCTATCGCCCGTTCTATTGCGGAAAGAAAGGATGGTATCCATGTTTCCGGGCATGTGCCACTTTCCTTCTGAACTCTGTACGGTAAGGGCTATTCTCGAAACGACTTGCATAATTGGCGGACGTATCCACGGAGACGCCTCAAGGCGTTACATTTGCTGCGCGTGCGCAGCCTTGTTTTTCGGTGACCCGTAGGAGAGTGGGGGGTGTTTCTTCTGCTCGGCGTCTGAATGATTGGGCGAAGGAATATGGGCTTTTGTACCTTGCAGTGCTGGAAGAAAGTGTAAAAGAGATTTCTTTGGAAGAGAGGACTGGTTCAAGGCGATACTGAACTGAATTTTGCGTGTGTGAGAGAGAATACTTCCCTGGTCTTTAGAAAACCGGTTTTCATTGTTCTGCATGTACCTGAGTTTTTTTTGTTTTTTTTTAAAGGTCTCCTTTTACTGTTGATGGACCTGATTTTTTTTGTTGGTGGACCTGCTGTTTTTATGTGTCTTAAAAATATTCCAGCTGGCAAAGTGCGTTATAGAGTAGTCGTATGTACAGTTACACTGCTCTAAATCCGTTGAAGTCAGTAGACTGGAGTAACTCCGAATGGGATTGTGCTGTTAGTGTGTTGTAGCCAAAATAAACAGGAGTCTTTAAAAGAATAGCAAGTATTTTATTGTATGATAAACATAATTTATGGAATCGTAATGCATCTGACGATGTGCATGCACACTTCTAGTCCATGAAAGCTTATGCTACAATAAAAGCCACAAGATTCCTATTTAAAATACTTGTTCTTATTGCTCGTTTTATGATAGATTCAGGTGGGTAGCTGTGTTCGTCTGAAGTAGCAGAACAAAGGTTGGGTCCAATGGCACCTTTAAGACCAACAGAGTTTTATTTAAGGTGTAAACTTTTCGTGTGCAAGCACACTTCCTTAGACAAAGTGAAACAAAATTTCTTCAAGCCCCATCTTCCTGTATGTAAGCCTTGAAGAAATTTTGTTTCAATATGTCTGAGGAAATTTGCTTGCACACTAAAGCTTACACCTAAAATAAAACTTTGTTGGTCTTAAAGGTGCCATTGGACTCAAACGCTGTTCTGCTCGTTTTATGGTATATGTGCTGGTTTTATTATGTATTTGGTGTGGTTTAACCTGTTTTTGAACCGGCCTTTCCCAGTTGTTAATGTTAGGCCCCGGTCACAAAGGCCGGATATTGTGGGTGGAGGCGTGGCTAATTGCCCCGGCGCAGTTTGATCCACGATTACGTGATCAGACGCACCGGCGGCACACCACAGGTCCTTCCCTCGGTGCCGGCGGGTAAACGGACCGGAGGGGAATGCCACGCGCCGGCGCGATCACACCACATGGCAAATGTTTACTAGTACCTTGGAGGTACTAGTTTTTAAATGCGCATTGTTGGCAGTAAGCCACGGGTGCACTCCACTTCCCAGATGTTGGGGTGTGATCGCGCCTGGATAATCCGCCCACCTTCCGTGCCTCTCCCGTGGCAACTTTGCCGTGTGACCGGGGCCTTAGTTTGTTAATATTTTTCTACTGCTAATAGTTTACACTTGTAAGCCACCTTGAGAGATACATTTAACTGACCGTTTGTGGGATACATTTTTTTTAAAAAATAACATCAGTATTATGTGTGTTGTTGGGGTAGGAGGAAGAGTTTGCGCCCATTGGAACATTTTTTCTGATCCGATTCTTATCATTAAGTCATTTAGCACTATTAAAATGTTCTATACTTTTTGGAGTGATAATTTGTTTTGTAACCTCTAAAATGTAACTTTAAAAACTCATCTGAGTCTCAAAAGGTCTTCGGAATTCTGCTTGCCAGCAACCCTTAATGTTCAGTTAACTATGGAAATTGTTTTGTTAACTATGGAAATTATTTCCAAAATGTCTAACCTAACTTACACAGCTCACAGACTAACCATTATACATCTCACATCCAATAGGAACAACTTAAAACTCATTAAAGGAAAATTGGCTCTTTTTTTTTACATCGTAGACAGCATCTCATTATGTGTATTTTGGCTCAAAGAGAAAACTGAAGTTATTGACTCATGTTTTCTCTGTTCTCTCTCCTTCCTCATTATGGTTATTATATATATATAAAGAAATAAGCTGTAGGATTCACAGTTGGCCTTAGTTGGGTGTTGGAGAGTTGGTATTTTCTACAGTAGAGACTTGCCCAGTCTTGTCAAATCATGGAAGCTAAGCAAGGTTGGCCCTGGTTAGTATTTGGATAGACCACCAAGGAAGCACTGGGTAGTAATGTAGAGGCAGGCAATGGCAGTCCCCCACTGAACACCTCTTGCTTTGAAAACTCTACAGGGTCACCATAAAGATAGATTCAGGTGGGTAGCCATGTTGGTCCGAAGCAGCAGAACTAAGTTTGAGTCCAGTGGCACCTTTAAGACCAACAAAGTTTTATTCAAGATATAAGCTTTTGTGTGCATGCACACTTCTTCAGGTACAAAGAAAGGGAACTTACCAGTCCATACATATAGGTAGAGGGTGAACAGTAAATTAGCATACAACATTACGAAGATATTTAACAGATTCAAGGACCAAACAGGAATAACAAGCTTAGTTTATATGGTTACCATTTAATTCCAGGGGGAAACATAGTAAAGGAAATAAATATATCAAAATTGGAGATTGATGGGCAGATGTATCCTTAATTGTGGAACGCCGAGCATAATCTCCCCTGATACTCTATGCAGCCAGTCGCCCCACTTTGAAGAAGAAGATGCTGTAAGGTTGCCTCCATGCTTGAGAGGAGACAGATGGAGCGTAATGGCAGGGTCTCGGTTATTTCCTCTCAGCATTCCACAATTAAGGATAGATCTGCCCATTAATCTCCAATTTTGGCATATTTATTTCCTTCACTGTCCCCCGGAATAAACCCAAACAAATAGTAACCAATCTGTTAAACATCTTCGTCATGTTGTATGCTAATTTACTGCTCACTCTCTACCTATATGTACGGACTGGTAACTTCCATTTCATTGTATCTGAAGAAGTGTGCGTGCACACAAAAGCTTATACCTTGAATAAAACTTTGTTGAGTACCACTGGACTCAAACTAGGGTCACCACAAGTCAGCTGTGACTTGAAGGGAAAACCCCCTGCAATCCTGTTTTCAGTAGTGCAGCCTGATCCTAACACTGTATAGAGCCACAAGTTCAAAATTTTGGTTATCACATCTTACTCCCAGATCTAAAATGTGAGTTCTCAAAATTTCATTCATGCTAGTGTAGAGGGTGCCTGGGTTCAAATGATTTTTTAAATTGATTATTGCTGTTTTACAGACGCCTTTGGGAAGAAATTCTCTGGGAATCTCCTGGAGAGTTGACAACCTGTTTTAGAATACATGTTTTTCTAGCCCTTGTTTCAAAGAAAAAGGGAGTATTTGTGATGTAACCTTTTAATTGGGAAATTATTGCAGGGGTTCTGTTTTCTCTGCCAATTTCAATTTAGTGGGTCAAGTTGACCTGGCAGGGCACCAGCGAAGCCAAGGAGTAGGGTTAAATAAAGTGCAATCGTATTCTCTATGCAACATTTATATTAAGTTTTTCTGAGTACCATATAACAACTCTGAATGTCTATAGCTGACAATTAAAGCCTATAGTTCAGATGGAGTGGTTTCTGAGTTTTAGTAAATAAGGGAAACCCAGGCTATGTTACTCTTTAAGCTGGGGATGTTGCATCATAAAGAAGAAAAAGACGCTGTTTGCATTTTTAACTGGAATAACAAAAAGCATTGCTTGCTAGTAATGCTAACTGGGAAAGCTTGCATCACTGCCAACTGTTCCCTCTTTTACTTCAAAGGGAAGAGTTTAATTGGAGTAAAACAATGATATTATATATTGTAACAGAGAGAAATCTCTTCTATTGATCTAATTGGTGTGTCTGTTTTTAGAATGTTATGTTTAAGACAAGTTAATGTGTAAGGTATGTATGAAAAGCAAATGTTCTTTATTAACTGTAAGCTTTGCTATAGAAAGGTTTTAAGTTTTGAACAAAGACTGTCTGCTGGAAGAGAGATCATTATACACAAGCAGGTGTACAAATGACCCAGCTGACATAATAAAGAAACTAAGTTGAAAGAACTAACGGGGGGGGGGGAGAGAGATGTTCCAAGAGCTTTGGGAAAAACAGAGTAATCAATCATGCTTTGAAGTTTTAAGGAGTACCCCGGTACTACCAGTTGTATGTAAGTTCAGCCAAGAACAAAAGTCATTTTTTAGCATCAATTAAAAAGGGTCAATTGGGAGGTACAGAATTTGTATTGTGGAACAGTGTCTCCTACGGGCTAAACTGAACTATGTGTTTTACAAATTATAAACTTTAATTTTAACAGAAAAAGGCTTCATAAAATGACCAAAAACATTCTGATAAGCCAAAATGAAAATTAGAACATGGATTCAATGCACCTACAAGAGTTTAATGCAACAAGCTATTTTATAATACTAAAAGAATTCATGTAAGGAGTTTAATGCTTTAGAATGTCATTATAATGATATTGTTTTCATATTTTGTATACTTGTTAGTGAAAATAAGCTTATAGGACTGTTTTAAAAGTGCTGTTATATTTCTATATACATGTATTCATGTTTGATGACAAGAACTGACAGAGTTTAATACTGAGAATGAACTGAGTCTGAAAGTTCAGTCAAAGGTAACAGAAGTCTGGGAGTTTGGCCAAAGGAGTAAACAAAGTCACAAATCAAAAGTAATGATCTGCACCTGCATTGTAGGAGTGAAAATGCAGCCAAGCAACATCCTGTGTGCCAAATATGTGATTGATGACTGGCCAGACAAAGAAAACTGAACTGAGCATGTCTACATGATGTCAGTGATGATGTAAAGTGAGGAGGAGCAAGAAGAGTATATAAGTCTGCTTTCTGTATTTGCTCACTGAACACCCACCCTGTGAGGTGCTCCTTTATTCAAATAAATACTTTTTATTACCCTTTACTGCCTGGATGATTGTGATCACTGTGTGGTTTATTGGCTAGCCACACAAGTAAAAGAACCTTAGCACCTTTAGCGCATTGGCAGCACTAGCAACATTGTCACGTGTGGCTTCCACACTGTATCTTTGTTTCCAGACTAGGCTTGCCTGTTGACTCTCAGTACATAGATAATATAGCTATGTATTGATGCAGCTACAGCTGGAAGGTTTGGATCTGAGATGGAAAAGACCTTTGTCATAAAATGTGTGGCTAAGAAGCTGCACTGTTGGTTGCATCTCAGAAGGTGGCAGCATATGTGAAAACTAGAGAAAAACAACAAAAAGGAAAGTTCTGGGAGCAACTGTTCTGGCTATTTTCATAAGCGATGTTTAAAGACCAGTTGTTCGTGTTTCCTATATTTGTAATTAGAATTAAAAACACTGCATTGACTAGTGTACCCACTCAGTTTTTGAGTTTCTGTGCTGTATTAGTGTTCACAAGGCACACATTATAATGTGGGGTGAGAACACAGACTTAAATTGGAATATGCTGGAAACATTTTAGCAGCCATTCTCATCCAGAGTTGCCAGCTGGCCGTTATGGCACAGCTACATGTCTTATTGTCTGAAAGGTTTATTGAAACCTTTAGTTTGAGTTTGTTAAACTTGTGATAAAACTGTGCATGCGTTTGTTGATGGAGAGGGAGAGTTGTGTGAATGCTCAAGATGCAGTTGTAGCTTTCCTGATTACAGAGAATGAAGCTTGAAGTCCTAAATGATATTAAGTAAAATTATACATGTTCATGACAGTGAAGTAAATAAACCCAGCACATTTTGTCTCATCGTGTGTTTTGTGTGTAACTATTCAGAGATGAGAAGGGGTATACAAAACATTTTTGGAGGACTTTCCTGTGGTGTGCCTGGCTCTTCTCACTGCTATAGACGACAAGTGAAGCCACCGGATTTTGGTTGAGAAGCCTTGTAGTTGCATGGGGAAAAAATAACAAGTAGTGGACAACAAGAAAGCAATCATGCTTGGAAAGTTTATTTTATTTCAATTAATTTATTGGCCGCCTTTCTTTTTCATAAGAGCCACTCAGAACAGTGAATGGTCTTTGATGCACTAAAACGTAACGCGTGGGAGGAATGCCGTTCAAAATTTAGATGCCACATTTGATATTTAGGAAACACTCAGGACACAGAGCTGGAGGGGAGGGCGTAGCGTCTCGGGGCCACAATAGCCGAAGAGTGGAAGAGCCGAGTCGCCCAGTTCGGCACGGAAGGTTTGTTTTCAAGCAAGCCGATTGGTTATGTAATGTCTAAGGCCGGAGGAAGAATAAGGGGAAGCTACTGCTCTCTGGGACTTGCAGTTTTTCCAGCTAGCACGGCTTGCCACGGTATTCTTTCTAGAGCTGGGCTGCGCTCTGTTCTATGGGAGATCGAGTCCTCTCAAGCGTCTGTTTCTCCACGTAGTCCGTTCGCGGGACTACGCCTCCCAAGATACACCGCAGCGCGCAAGCGTAGATATCTCCCGAAGTCCGGTAAACAGTGTTGCCGTGCGGCTGGGTGCTCTGGTTGGCGAAGCTTGTTCGGGCAAAGAGGCGGGAGCGAGGTGTGGGGGGGAAGGTGAAAGCGAGTGCGCGCGCGCGCGCCAAGGCCGGGCGTCGAGCCTCGGAGGAGAAAGGCGAGGCGGACGGTGCCATTAATCGAAAGGGGAGAACATTCGGTACGGCCTGAGGGGGATTGGGCTATACCTTCCTGGGGGGGGGGAAGGGGGACTGCGGAGCGCCTGCGCGCTAGTCAGTCAGCGAGTGCTTTGTGGCCCTGAGGAGACGGAGGTGATGTGGCGGCGCTGAGGGAGCGCGAGAGCGGAAGGGGCGCCATGGCAGAGGCGTCTGGGAGCCCCTCGGCGGCGGGTGCGGAGGCGGCCTTGGACCCCGAGTTCCCTCCACAGAGCCGGCCACGTTCTTGCACATGGCCTCTACCCCGGCCGGAGCTGGCAGGGGCGTCGGCGGAACCCGACCCAGAACCAGGCGGGGGGGTAGGATCCGGGAGCGGGCTAGGGAGCCCCGAGAAGAGCGGCGGCGGCGGGAGCAGCGGCGGGGCGCGTCGCAATGCTTGGGGTAGCCAGTCGTACGCCGACTTAATCAGCCAGGCCATCGAGAGCGCCCCGGATAAGCGGCTCACCCTGGCACAGATCTACGAGTGGATGGTCCGTTCCGTGCCTTATTTCCGCGACAAGGGAGACAGCAACAGCTCAGCCGGGTGGAAGGTGAGACCCGAAAGGCGGGGGCGGGGAGAGGAGAGAATTAATGGCACGAATTAATTGCACTCCTTACATCAGGCTTGTGAAAGTTGCCCAAGGCCGCTCAGTTAAAAGGCGAGATTCGAACGGAGGACTTCCTGATCCGTCGTCACTGGACCACAGCAGAGCGAAGACTTTCTACGTCTTTCCCCCTTCCTCTTTCCTTTCCCGGCAGTGTTACTGAGAGTTACTCTAGGTATTGCGCTGTGAACTACTTGCAGATGTGGCTACTTCCAGGCCTTTTGCCAGCAGTGTTTCTTCCCCCTCCTTTCCCTGCCTCTTGAAATCCTTTGCTACCTTGTGACTTTTTAAAGCTCACAATAAAAGTATTGTCCTTTTGCTTTTAGAAATTGCATGCCATACAGTTCAACAGGTGATGTGTGTTCAGTCAGAGTTGCAGGAATGGGAGAGGAGAGTACCTGTTGATGTCACATAAAAGACATAGGAGTCACTGAAAAGACATAGGAGTTGTGTCCACAAAGGATAAGAAAATTGCATCACTTAGGCACTCTGAAGTTTGGAGGCCAGTTTTGGCTTTTGGGATTGCTTAGATCCACCAAAGGAATCAGCATTCAGTGTCAGGGTGTAATTCTGAAACATGGCTTTGAAAAAAGAAAGAAAGAAAGCATCTGGGCTTCAGCTCTGAGTAATCACAACCCAATTCCATATTTCTGGAACTAGGCTGCAAGGTTTATGGGTCATGGGGTGTGGCGTATAAATTATTAGCAGGTAGAGTTAACTACTGTAGTTACTGTACTGCCATCTGATGGGACTTAATTCAAACCACCATTGAACTAGAACTCTTTTATGCTGCTAAAGAACTGTTGCGGTTAGTATAAGTATAAAACACTCTAATTAAAAATAAGGGCTTTTTAGTCAGAGAGCAAAGTACTGGTAGCTTAAACAGATTTTGAAGGGTGGTGATGTAGCAGGAGGGTGGATTAGATGGCCTTTTCTTTCTTCCAGATCCCTGATACTAAATGCAGAGCCTTAAGGGAGACTAGCATAGAAGGGAATACTGAGCAACCTCTGTCCTGGTTGCCCTATCAGCTATCCTTGGGTTTCTGGGCTCCAATGAGTGTTTCTCACTGCCCCCTGTGCTTGGTAGGGATGCTACAGTTGCTAGAACTTAATGCATAATGAAAGTGTAATTGAGTAGAATTCCCTGTACTGTTTTCTCTGAAGTTCCTGTGATTGTTGATTTTTGCAAGGAGTTTCTCTGTACAGGAGGCTCGTATTGGTTCAGCCTCCTTTCCCTGCATGTCATCTCCTTGTCCTGATTTCTCTGTGTAGTACAGTTTGATGCCAAGGACAAACGTTTGGAGACCGCAACCCCATCTACATCTGTGAGCAGTGCAAGTTTAGGAAATACTTTTGCTGTCATTGCTTGGAAAGAGTGGCAAGGAATGGTCTTCTCCATGACTCAGAAAATCTCACATGTCTATAAGTTTGATAACAATAAACCCCTTCCTCATTGATGCCTTAAAAGTTGGCAGCTCCTGAACATTACACTTTTATACTAGGAATTTTCCAGTGGTATGTTCTATAATAATCTCTCATACTTCCTTATAATAGTCTGACAGCCCCCAGGAATTAGAATTGGACTTATTTGCAAGCAGATTACTAAAAAGGAAACTGTGACCTTGGACATGTGATGAGAACAGGAGGAGCCAGAGTTATGACCTCATCAGTATTAGGGCCAGAACAGTGGGCAGTTGAAGACAGACCCATGCATAGCAGAAAGTATACTGTAGTGAAGAACAAGCCAGCACAGGCAGGTTCAGATGTCTTTCCCTGCTGCGGAACTGCTCCCCTGCCTTACGTTTCTCCTTTCCCTTTCCCCCTATTTTCCTTGCCATCGTCTCTAGCTGTCCATTGCTTGTTGACTCTGGAGCACCTCTCCCAAAGATTCATTTTGTCAGTGAGGGGCATTTCATTCTGCAAGCAGACATGCAGAATGTTGTGGTCTTGACTGTTGGCTGTGGATCTGGGCTGAGGAAGTGGAAAAGAAAGCAAGAGATAATTTTTGGGGAAGGGGCTTACATGCAGGAAGCACAGGTACTGAACAATGAATGTCTCACTGGCAGAAGAGCAACAGTGGTAGAGTGAAGTGGAGGGGAAAGAGAGAAGACAAAGAACTGCTTTAGCGGGGAAGAGGGGCTTTGCGCAGGAAGAAGATACGTGTGGTGGAGAAATGAATTGTGGGTTGTGGCAGTGTGGACCTGGCTGTGCTAGGCAGCAGGAGTAGACAGAAGGCAAGGGAGGGATTGTGGGTTGGGTGGCATCTGAACCTGCCTGCGCTAGAATAGGAATTCTCTCCACTCCTGAGTGACCTCACTATGCTGTCCTGATGCTGAGGTGCAAGCATATACAACGAGAGACAAGTGGCATGGCACCCATGATCTGTTTGCATGCGCATTAGCGGCATGTGCAGTAGCTGCAGCTCCTTCTCAAAAACTCTGGGGGAGGATACTTTGTAGGGACTGATGGCTCACCTGAAGGTCCCAACACTCAGGATAAAAACCAGTGCTTTAAAGAAAGGAGAGAGATTACAGCTCATGGAGGGGGTGTATGCGTGTTTTCCCTTGTGCTTGGCCCTTCAGTTCACTTTGTTTCAGCACTTCCAAGAAAGGCCACTCCCTGCCCCCTTTGTGAATGTTCTTGGAGATTTCCTGGAAAGGCAGGAGCCCAATCAGAGACTCTAGGCCAGACTGCTGTGCAAGGCCAAGTGTCATTTGAATGGATTTCAATACTGGGCTTCAGTTCTTTGTCACCCAGCTGTGCTGATGCTCGGTATAAATAACTCCTTCATAGCATGCATTCCTGGCTCACATAGTCCTTCCTTCAGAAAGGGAGCTCTGGGTAGAGAGCGAATATGTCTGCCCTCCCTTGAGGAAGTTCAGACTGAAAAGGCACTTGGAAAGAAGACTCTCTTTATTTTAAAATATGAGCCTTGTTTGTTCCAAAAATGGGAGTTGTCTCCTATAGTGATTTCAGATGAGAGCGTTCTTCTACCCGCCCCCCCATGCCTAGTCTGACTCAGAATAGCACCACCTGTGTGATTATCCACACTTTGCAAACTTGCATTTCAAGTTGTTGTTGTTGTTGTTGTTCAGTCGCACAGTCGAGTCAGACTCTTCGCGACCCCATGGACCAGATCACGCCAGGCCCTCCTGTCTTCTGCCGTCCTCTGAAGTTGGCTCAATTTCATGTTCGTTGCATCAATGACTCTAACCATCTCATCCTTTGCCGTCCCCGTCTTCTTTGACCTTCAATCTTTCCCAGCATCAGGGTCTTCTCCAGTGTGTGCTCCCTTCTCATTTGGTGGCCAAAGTATTTGAGCTTCAGTTTCATTATCTGGCCTTCCAGGCATTTCAAGTAGTTTAGAGGAAAAAACCTGCTTTGCTTTCCTTGTTACCTTTGCCATCTTCTGCAGGACAGACAGTGTTATGGCCTATGGCTAAGACAATATACTTGTAGAACTTGCAGGACAGACAGCATCTACAGAAGGCTACAGAGGTGAGTGGGCTGCTTCTCAGCTAAGTGTGGCTATTGGTCCCCTTTCCTGCCCCCTCTCATGCGCCTAGGGTAATATTTTTGTTGTCATAAATGGGAGCTTGCAAAGTATGGTTAATGACCCCAAGAGTACAATAGATCTATTTATCCTTAACATGTAGGTTAATCTGTGAGGCTGAGGTTTGCCAGAAACCACGTGAGCTTCCCAGCTTAGCAGGAGTTTTAACCCTGATTGCTGCATACAGGCCCCGTGGTCTCTATCTCTCCACACTAGCTCGCTATTGTTCCTTTATCCTCTTCTTCATTTGCTTATATTTGCATCGAGGTTCATAGTGTTGAAGTCTGCAGGCATTTCTTTCAAACATGCTTTTGTCAGTATTTTGCTTTGGAGTAACCAAAAGTGTTATGTTTTTGTATGGACAGGTCATTAAAGGAGAGGTTCTGTATGAGGTGAAGCTGAAATGCATCACTTGGCAGTGAAGACAGTTTTGATCTAGAGCAAGCAGTGCCTGCTGCCGGCCTTTCCTGTACAGGTTTCAGGCATGCAGTTGAAAGGCTCATATGTGTGCTGTGACATTTAGCACAGGAAGCATAGCAATGTAGGCATCCATTTAAAAATTACATTTTACTATTCTTTTGCAATCTTTCAGAGAAGCATTCTGTAGATACAAGTTAATCTGAACACTAGAGGATTACTAGATATTGCCTTGTGACTTGTCTCTTTTCTTTGCAGTGTAGAAGTTAAGAATTAACTGGGATATAAGAAGACACATTCAAGGGTAGATTCAGTGGTGGATGTCTGTAAGCTCGTGTGTAATGATCCTGTTGATGCTTTATGAAGCAAAGTTTAAATCCTTCTGGCCTTGCTAACTGGGTGTGGGTTAAGATGCTTTGTATCTATTAAGTGGAAGCAGAGAAGATATCCATTGGAATACCCATACCATGAACATGGAGTTTTTTAAAGGACAGAAACATTGTAAAAGAAAAGTGCTTGGAATGTGAAATTGTTCTCCAAGTATCCAGTCTGCATACAGAGATCTGCAGAATGAGCACAGCTATGCTGCCTTGCTGTGCTGCTGTAGTTTCTTGTAGCATGCTATTCTGGAGCTGGCCCCTTGGAACCATTGTTCCCTCTAAGCTGAGTTAGTGTGAGCTAGCTCACAGTTTTTTAGCTTCCAGGTCACACATTTTTGCCTTAGCTCAGGAAGGATGGCTCTAGAGCAAACTAATTTATGCAGTAGCCAAATCGCTCGCTCACAACTTTAATGCCAGTAGCTCACAAAGTAGAATTTTTGCTCACAAGACTCCACAGCTTAGAGGGAACATTGCTTGGAACTGGAAGTTCATGGAAGATAGAATTAACTCAGATCAAAATTAGGGTGAATCCTATTTTATTAGGGGTCAGGAGGGAATTACTTTACTTCCATGTTTGGAGCTCTCTGATTTATTGG